TGAGTTATAAAGGTTTAAAGCTAACAATTTTTTGACATAAAATGTAAAATATCTTGTAAAATAAAAAAACCACTCCTCAATGTTTAAAGTCGACCAGACTGGCAATAATTTATTATAAATAATTATTTGAAATACAACGTTTCGGCTGTCATTGCAGCCCTTTTCAAGTACATCTATAAAAAGTTCCATCAAAATAATTATAATTTAATACACTTATTCGCAACAATTAATTATACATTTAAAAACAAAAATGTGTTACATACCAAATTTAAAACAGTAAATCAACTTCTATGCAAACTACCGACAATGTTAACGCTTGTTTTGATGAACAATGCAAGACTGACAGAAGTAAGCACATATTAAATAGATGTTAACTGTTCGCAAGAATCTTAGTCACTAAGCGTTAAGAGAATAGAGACGAAACTAAATGTGTCTTTCGTAATTTAAATCGTCATAATAAAGTCAAATAAATAAAAATAAATAAATAGGTGGATATAAAAATAAAAATAAAATTAAAAGTAAAAATAAAACGACTTAAATAACGTTAAGAACACGATCATAAATCCCACTGAAATTCTCCGTATCTTTCTGTAAATTAATACTTTTTCCTTGTTTTTTTATGTAAAACATTTCTGCAATTTCTCTTTTTCTTGTCTGTTTTTCCTCATGCAGAATCACCGGAGAATCCCAACGGAACTCATGATCGTTGCAAGTCCGATGTAAACTAACGACAGAATGCAATGTCTTGAAAAAGAACACATGACAGCCATGTTATGATTTCGTTGGACGTGACTTCACTTTTTACTAACACCCCTTGGGAATTAATTAAAATAGCAATAGAAAACCGATGGGATGACATCTCACAATTTACTTCGTTTAGCCTTGCGCAGTTTTTACACGCCATTGACACGGTTATGCGCTCAACGAGCTTCGTTTTTGACGGAAAATTTTACGAACAGGTTTTCGGTTCTCCGATGGGGTCTCCATTGTCTCCGATTCTTTCTGACATTGTTATGGACGATTTGGAATCATACTGTTTGCGTCAATTGGATTTCGAACCCTATTGTTATTTTAGGTACGTCGATGATATCTTTTCAATTATTCCGAAAGGAAAAATTGAGGACATGCTTAGGGTGTTCAATGGTTTCCACACTCGACTTAAATTTACGTTCGAACTAGAGAAAAATTGTTCTCTGAGTTTTTTGGATACGAACGTTATACGTATCGGTGGTAGATTGACGACTAATTGGTACCGCAAGCCTACGTTTTCAGGCCGCTATATTAATTTTCTGTCAAATCATCCTATGAGATATAAAATTAGCGTGATTACAAGCCTAGTTGATAGGGCTATTTTACTCGCTGACCCTATTTTTCATGAAGAAAATATTAATTTAATCAAAAGAATCCTTATTAATAATTGTTACCCATTAACAATTATAAACAAAAACATCAATAAAAGACTTCGAGCGATTAAATTTGGCGGTAATCTTAACTCGCCCAATCGAAATAAATTTGATACGCGAAATTGCATTGTGTTACCTTACATTAAAGATCTTAGCGAGAATATTACGCGTTGCATCAATAAAAGTGGAATTGATGCTTTATATACTGTCCCAAAAAAATTGGACACGTTGATAAAAAGAGGTAAAGATGGGATCGAAAACTTAAAAAGAACTGATGTTGTTTATAAAATTGAATGTGCGAATTGCGATTCGGCTTATATAGGACAGACAAAGAGACATTTAGAAACGCGCATTAAAGAACATAGAAATAACATAAAAAAAGACAAGACATTGCATTCTGTCGTTAGTTTACATCGGACTTGCAACGATCATGAGTTCCGTTGGGATTCTCCGGTGATTCTGCATGAGGAAAAACAGACAAGAAAAAGAGAAATTGCAGAAATGTTTTACATAACAAAACAAGGAAAAAGTATTAATTTACAGAAAGATACGGAGAATTTCAGTGGGATTTATGATCGTGTTCTTAACGTTATTTAAGTCGTTTTATTTTTACTTTTAATTTTATTTTTATTTTTATATCCACCTATTTATTTATTTTTATTTATTTGACTTTATTATGACGATTTAAATTACGAAAGACACATTTAGTTTCGTCTCTATTCTCTTAACGCTTAGTGACTAAGATTCTTGCGAACAGTTAACATCTATTTAATATGTGCTTACTTCTGTCAGTCTTGCATTGTTCATCAAAACAAGCGTTAACATTGTCGGTAGTTTGCATAGAAGTTGATTTACTGTTTTAAATTTGGTATGTAACACATTTTTGTTTTTAAATGTATAATTAATTGTTGCGAATAAGTGTATTAAATTATAATTATTTTGATGGAACTTTTTATAGATGTACTTGAAAAGGGCTGCAATGACAGCCGAAACGTTGTATTTCAAATAATTATTTATAATAAATTATTGCCAGTCTGGTCGACTTTAAACATTGAGGAGTGGTTTTTTATTAATTATTACTGGCAACCTTAAGGATTATTATTTATCTTGTAAAATATTCCATTTTCGATAATCATGCCTTAATACTTTTCTGCACAATATATAAGATCAATCAATTGATATAAAGAAAACAGATAATTATTTTAAAAAGAATATGTAATATTCTACATGCAGCTGTATACTTTTTTATAAGCAACTATGTGTTTTTTATACACCAATTGATTGGTCTCATTATTCTGTGCAAAAAAGTTATGGTATGAAAAGTTAAAGTATGATTACCGGAAACTGAATATTTTACAAGATAAAATTTTACATTTTATGTCAAAAAATTGTTAGCTCCAAACCTTTATAACTTAAAGAGTACTCCACGAAAAAATACTTTATTATAGGGTTTTGGAAAGCAGTTGAAATAACCTACAAAAATATGTAATGAAAAATAGATAGTTTCATTTAAGAAATTGAAGTTAACCTTCACATGACCTTCAAATAACTTTTCAAGGTCAAATCAATAGCACCATCTTATATTCCCCTTAAAACCATAAAATTTTTGTCTAAAATATTTTTCTCTAAAATGCTTAGTTTTTGGAAGAAAAAAGGTGTATGGATGGTCTGAGACTCCCTGTATCATTTAGATGTATTTTAACAAATATTAAATATATTGTAGTTAAATATAAATAAATTGTTCATGCTTTCTATTTAGTTTTTATATTATCAAATATTTCTTTTAAAAAAGTATACTAAAATTTAAAAAATTGTAAATAACATTATCTTGGAAATCATCAAATTTTATTATTAATGTTATTCAATAAAATTTTTATCATTAAAATTGTAAATATTTAAATTGAACTCAGACAAGATTAAATTCTCAAATATAATATAATACATAATTATAATCTTGCATAATATATATCCTACACTTAATAATATTAATATTCTCTATGGTATTCTATAATTATTTAAACATTTAATATTTTAGTATTTATGTTATATATATAGCGTGTCATGGTAAGAGTGGACAATCTCTTGTAGAATAGATAAAAATAATCCCATAAGTTCCTATAATTTTTTCTTCTATAACGCATTTTTATCGAGATATTTATCTCTAAAATTAAAATTTGTGAAATACTTTTTTAAATAATTCTTATATCACTTTTTTAAATTTTTATATTAAGTAAACAATCTTAAAAGTGATATTTATATATATATATATAATCGTGTGATATATATGTATATATAAATTTCTTGATATTGAAGAGCCAGGGATGGATCGCCTACAAGATATTTATCTCTAAAATTAAAATTTGCGAAATACTTTTTTAAATAATTCTTATATCACTTTTTAGATTTTTATATTAAGTAAACAATCTTAAAAAGTGATATATATATATATATATATATATATATATATATATATATAATTTTTCGTTTAAATGTATTTTTCTCGAAAACAGTTAACTTTTATGAAATAAAATAAGAATCTTTTGTAAAAATTTTTGTAGGTTAAAAGATTTGTAGGCGGGCGCGATCTATCCCTGGCTCTTCAATATCAAGAAATTTATATATACATATATATCACACGATTACACACACACACACACACACGCGCGCGCGCGCACACACACACACACACACTCTCTCTCTCTCTCTCTCTCTCTCTCTCTTTCTCTCTCTCTCTCTCTCTTATTCTCTCTATTAAATATTACATATACTAACAAGTATTTATATTATACAGAGCCATGACTCGAAGTCCAATCCTTAAGGGCGTTATTGAAGTCTAAGAGTTAAAATTGTTCAATAGTATATGTAACATGTCTGTAAATGCTTTTAATAGAATTACAACTATTGAAAGTTTATATGAATATTTCAAACATTTTCTGTCAGTCTGATATTGTTCATGTTTTCTCATACTAATAGTTTATGCAAAACAATATAATTTCGCAATATAGATGAATTTGTAAACATAATTATAGATGTGGCAATGCAAGTATTTTACTAAAATGATGGAGTGAGCTGTTAGATTACTTTTACACGAGGCAAAACTTGCATTGAATCTGCAAGAAATAATTTTGCAACATTTTTTAATATATTTGTAAATAAACAAGTTAAATTAAATGTCTTTTTGTTTCTTTTTTCAAATATTTACATTAATTTTCAATGATTATAGTTAGAAAGTTATGGACATACGTTTGTTAAATAATTTCCTCTAAATGACATGCCTTTCATATATGGACCTTGAGTCATGAGACATCCTGTATATTATTTTAACAAAAACTTTAATTTAATTTTGTTTACTTATGTAAATAACTGTTTACTTATTTGCAGTAAATTGAATTTATTTTTATTAAAATTATTTCACAAAAAATAAAAATAAGTTTAGAATAAATTAATACAGAAAAATGCATATTCAAATGTAATAACCACCATATTAACATAATATTTCCATATTATTGTAAAAAACTTTCTTTTCTCTATCTTTCTATCTTGTGTATATATAAATATCTGTTAAAAAATAATTGATAAATATTTAGTGTTACTCACTTTTCCAATTCCGAAATATGTTACAAGTGCAAGACATGGTGCTGCAAGAGAGAAAATTAATAAGTGTCTACTTATTCTCTTTCTATCTACACCTTCATGAAGAAGAAATGACACAAGTCCAAATGCAGCTGGTGCCTAAAAAATAATTTATTGTTTAATGATAAAAAATAGTAATATAATTATACTACATTTACTTATATTTTTAATTAAAATTACATTTTACATGTTAATTGTTAAAACATAAATCTTACTTTGTGTAACATTATAGCAAAAAAAACTATCACTTCAACATCAGCTTGAGATGTTGTAGCAGCCGCTCCCAACGCAACTCCATCAACTGCCGCATGTACTATAAGACCTAAAGTTGCTGTAATACTTTTTTGTCTTCCTCCACTTTTTCTGGCTGAACATTGATCAATCAAAAGCATAAATACAAAACCAAGTACTAAACTAATTCCAATTAAAGAATGTAAATCACCTATAAAAAAACAAAAATTATATTTACTATTGATACCGCTAAATATAAATTTCATAAAATGTGCCAATTAATAAATATATAAATTACATACTATATAATCCTTTTTCATTAGCATTTCCACCAGTAAATAATGCTCTTATACCCTCAGGTATAATCACTGCTAACGCAGTACCAACAAGAAGTCCTGCTCCTAATATTGATACTAATTGTAACTTGTCCTAAAAAAAAAAGCACATATTGTATACAATTACAAAGAACAAAGTTCATTCAATATATTCATTAGTTTTATTCAATATTTTACATATATAAAATATATTCTATTTTGTAAGAAAATATCTTACTTCTGATAAATTTATAACTAATGGCAATGATCCAGCTACACAAGAGCCAACGAACATAACAAGAGAAAGCATCCATAACATTGCCCTTTCCTCCATTTTTATTTAATACTGTTGAGAATTATTAATTTTCAACATTATGTACAAAAAGATATATGTGCCAAACATCAAAATGTAATTGAATAATTATCAATCAAATTATAAATTTGCTGTCACACATTGATTTATCATGTCAATGTACAAATTCTTATGACAGACAAAAATATGTAAGACATTATTCTCCGATTTGTATACATGAATTATATTCATTAAAATCGATTAAGCCACTAAAATCAATAAGAACGACAGACTAATTCTTCTTTGATTTGAGTGGCACTGAATAAGATTCAATCATGTGGTCGTAAATAGGTTAAATCAAGTACTTGAAAACTTGATATAAAGATACAAAAATTGGATCCAAATAAAAGACACGCGCGTTTAAATACGTTCATTTGTGTTCACAGACAATAAAGAACTTTACAAATTATTAATTTTGAACTCCGAATTGAGCTTCACATATGTTTATAACATACGACCATGGATGTACCTACACCCATGCATACTGATCTTGGGTTTGTTCTTTATTGCTGCACTGGTGAATTAGTGCAATGAGAAGTTGAAAAGGGTCGTGTGACGTCATTGGTCGAAACCCTAATTTTTTCGCGCTATGTAACATCCCGTCATTTTTTCGAAACCGTATTTTTGTGCGCTACAAATCTTTCTGAATAATTACTTAAGAAATGCAATTGTATTTCTCAATATTACTATTATTATTCATTATTCATAATTATTGGGACGATTTTACTAATCGTACTAACATCTAGGGTCTTCCTAGTTCTAACTAAACGGCTCAGCCAATCGGACAGCGTCACTAAACCTCACCTGGGTACTTATTACGGTTCTTTGGGTGAGTTTGCTCACGAGGTGAAAATCACAAAAGTGAGAGATTCACTAGGTTGTCTACACTTCTATTGGTCAAAATCTAGTGAATCTCTCATTTTTGTGATTTTTATCTCGTGAGCAAACTCACCCAAATAACCGTAATAGGTACCCTGAGGGTGCGATTACATGGACGCGCGGAAACGCGGAAACGCGGAAACGCGGAAGAGAAAGTAACTAAACTTTACTAGAGTTATAGTTACCCGCATTTCCGCGCGTTCCGTTCCGTCTGTTTTGATTGCCTTATATTACATGGAGCACATTTTGAGCGGAAAAGCGGAACGGTATAGTGACAAATAGACATTTGTATTAATTTTTTAAATTTATATTTACTTAATTCATTGTAATTCCTTTTAATATGTTCATCTTTTCAACTTATCTATTGAATACAAGCATTTTAATCAATAAATATAGTTAAATATTAATATTTTATAATTCCCCGTTCCGCTTTTCCGCTCAAAATGTGCTCCATGTAATATAAGGCAATCAAAACAGACGGAACGGAACGCGCGGAAATGCGGGACTCTAGTAAAGTTTAGTTACTTTCTCTTCCGCGTTTCCGCGTTTCCGCGTTTCCGCGCGTCCATGTAATCGCACCCTGAGCGCATACTTCCAACTAAAGTCACTAGATTACAAAGTAACGCAATTCATAAGATCAGAGAGAAAGATGAGAGCGGCCAGGCCGGCGTTTTGGCTGTTACCGTTTTTACGGGACTGCTTGAAGCGCCCCTCGCACCCGTTTTTAATATCGGAACTAACTGCACACCCATTTTCTGGCAGGGTCGATAAAGTTTGTATTTGGTGCGAGTCCGTGCTACGCCCATAATTTTCGTGTTAACACAGTATCACGTATTCATTCTGTATATGTGCGATCTTTTCTCTTTATATATATATATATATATATATATATATATATGTATTTATATAATTTGTATAAAAACTAAAATATAATTATTAAAATATATATATATATGTATATGTGTAATGAAATATATAAATCTTATTTTAATTAAAATAAAAAGAACGATTAATTGTTCGACCACCTGGATTTTGGAATGTAATTTTTAATATATATTATATTATATTTAATATTTATCGCCGCTTCTATTAATATGAAGTGCAATGTCAACGTGCAATAATGTACAATTATTTAAAGTTTCCATGCCTAATGTATCATGCCGGTATAAAAGAACGTCAAGTAGCATGCGTAGCCGAGCAACTAAGATGACGAGCTGAAATCGTGGACATTTCAAGTTCAAACCCCTGCCTTTTTCAGATTTTTTTTTCACTTTTTTCAAATAAGTTATTATGTGTATAAATGTGTAATAATCAATATATCATTATTTGATAATTTTTTTTGTAATGGAACAAAATAAATTATTTTTTAATTCTGCAAGGAATTTAATTATTAATGCAAACGCCCACACACATAATTTAGATATTCAATTTTTTTTAGTTCAAATGTTTCTTGCAATCTGTATACGACAATCAGTCCACTCGCTGTGCCACAGATTGCATCGCATAATACGCTCAGAGTTATAATACGATAGAGATCGCTTTACGCTGTTTTTCCTTGAAATAAATAAATTTTACGTGTTGTGTACGCGTGTTTAGTATATTTGTTTCTTTCATATTAATTTTAACTATAATTAGTTTTTTAATTAAGATTATTTTAGTGTTAGTTGTTTATTTGTTAGTGTCCTGTTTTCTTTAATTTCGCATTTTTTAATTTTCTTTTTTTTTGGTGTTGGTGCTAATTATTATTTTTATTTTACAATGTCGAGTAAACACCGGTTTTACGATAAATGTGTGTATTTAAATTGCACAAATATTAGGACAAAAGATGGAAAACGTTTATTTCGATTTCCATTACAAACGGGTGCGAGACATGATTTATGGTTACGCAATAGTGGTGAGTTTATAAAATTGATTTACTTATTTATATCAATATATAATATATATTGATATGATATATGAAACAAATATATATATATATATTCTTTGTTTTTTTTAATAAAATATGTCAGATATTATGTATGTTTACGTATGGATTACGTTGAAGTGTTTCTTTGCCGCGTTTTTCTGATCTCGCCGAACGGTTCGCGAATCCTGTGCGAATAAAAAACGATGCGCGTGTGTGTGTGCGTGCGATTGTGATGATCAGTTTCAGTTCGTCTTCAACGCTTGACGAGAGAAGAGGTCCCGAACTGCTGTAAGTTTATAAAAACATATTTTTGTATAACACATTAGAACGATTTTATATTATTTTTTTTGTCTAGAAAACGTTATATTAATAACCGTTATGAAAACGATCTCGACGACGGTCGTCACCGGCATCGTCGCCGTCGTCAAGATCGTTTTCATAACGGTTATTAATATAACGTTTTCTAGACAAAAAAAATAATATAAAATCGTTCTAATGTGTTATACAAAAATATGTTTTTATAAACTTACAGCAGTTCGGGACCTCTTCTCTCGTCAAGCGTTGAAGACGAACTGAAACTGATCATCACAATCGCACGCACACACACACGCGCATCGTTTTTTATTCGCACAGGATTCGCGAACCGTTCGGCGAGATCAGAAAAACGCGGCAAAGAAACACTTCAACGTAATCCATACGTAAACATACATAATATCTGACATATTTTATTAAAAAAAACAAAGAATATATATATATATTTGTTTCATATATCATATCAATATATATTATATATTGATATAAATAAGTAAATCAATTTTATAAACTCACCACTATTGCGTAACCATAAATCATGTCTCGCACCCGTTTGTAATGGAAATCGAAATAAACGTTTTCCATCTTTTGTCCTAATATTTGTGCAATTTAAATACACACATTTATCGTAAAACCGGTGTTTACTCGACATTGTAAAATAAAAATAATAATTAGCACCAACACCAAAAAAAAAGAAAATTAAAAAATGCGAAATTAAAGAAAACAGGACACTAACAAATAAACAACTAACACTAAAATAATCTTAATTAAAAAACTAATTATAGTTAAAATTAATATGAAAGAAACAAATATACTAAACACGCGTACACAACACGTAAAATTTATTTATTTCAAGGAAAAACAGCGTAAAGCGATCTCTATCGTATTATAACTCTGAGCGTATTATGCGATGCAATCTGTGGCACAGCGAGTGGACTGATTGTCGTATACAGATTGCAAGAAACATTTGAACTAAAAAAAATTGAATATCTAAATTATGTGTGTGGGCGTTTGCATTAATAATTAAATTCCTTGCAGAATTAAAAAATAATTTATTTTGTTCCATTACAAAAAAAATTATCAAATAATGATATATTGATTATTACACATTTATACACATAATAACTTATTTGAAAAAAGTGAAAAAAAAATCTGAAAAAGGCAGGGGTTTGAACTTGAAATGTCCACGATTTCAGCTCGTCATCTTAGTTGCTCGGCTACGCATGCTACTTGACGTTCTTTTATACCGGCATGATACATTAGGCATGGAAACTTTAAATAATTGTACATTATTGCACGTTGACATTGCACTTCATATTAATAGAAGCGGCGATAAATATTAAATATAATATAATATATATTAAAAATTACATTCCAAAATCCAGGTGGTCGAACAATTAATCGTTCTTTTTATTTTAATTAAAATAAGATTTATATATTTCATTACACATATACATATATATATATATTTTAATAATTATATTTTAGTTTTTATACAAATTATATAAATACATATATATATATATATATATATATATATATATAAAGAGAAAAGATCGCACATATACAGAATGAATACGTGATACTGTGTTAACACGAAAATTATGGGCGTAGCACGGACTCGCACCAAATACAAACTTTATCGACCCTGCCAGAAAATGGGTGTGCAGTTAGTTCCGATATTAAAAACGGGTGCGAGGGGCGCTTCAAGCAGTCCCGTAAAAACGGTAACAGCCAAAACGCCGGCCTGGCCGCTCTCATCTTTCTCTCTGATAAGATACATGGGAGTCAAGATGGTGTCGAAAAGTGTAGATAGTGTATACATTGTGTAAATCATCTCTACTTTAAGTGTAGTCTTTATAACCTGTTATAATCTTCTTCACACATGAAGAGAAATAAGAGGTATCAAGATGCCAGGTTGTTGTGTTAAAGACTGCAATAATCGCAGCGAAAGAGGATTTCGGTTATTTCGTGTTCCGAAAAATAAAGAAAAAAGGCATGAATGGCTTCAATTAATTGGAAGAAATACTTTAGACTTGTTTGTTTATCACAATATCAGGCAAATATTAATCGTAGTAACTATTCTGTTATAGACTCTAATGATCTTATTACTTATTGTAATAAAATAAAACAATTAGATTCTAGAAATTCCTCTGCAGAAGAGAGATGTCTGCAGAGCAATAAAAATTTATGGGATATAAATATATATCAATCATTGCTTGGAAATGAAAAGGAAACTGATTTAAATAATACAGTTCAAGCTGCATTATATTATTTAATAGGTGCATTATTATTTAAAATACAAAAAAATTTTACACATTGCAATAATTGTTTTAATGTTCTTGTAACTACGAATGATTCTAACAACAATTCTAACTACAATAATCTAAGTTTTTATACAAAGTTAAGAGAATATAAAGAAAATATTTTAATATTTCCAAGCGTGGAGATATATATATAATTTAATATATAAGTACGAACTATTATTTCGGAAAAATGAGACTAACTTACTTTTTAATGTATTAAAAGTCAATGATTTTATAACAATGTTTTTACAAGAATATTCGATAAACTTTAT